CCATAGTTTCAAACGCCAAGGCGTTATCCACTAGACCACTTGGGCCGTGAGAGCCACTTCTTGTACAACGGGTCATATTAATTATTTAATTGAATTTTAGAATTTCCCGTCGATTGATTTGACCGAATTTCTGGGTCTCAAGTTGACATGTCGGCTTCTTGTGCAGATGTTTCGACGATGTCTGGACATGCAATTAGAATTTTCGAAACTATGGGGACTGGTTTCTAGCCTCGGGAGGAACATCATCACCCACCTGGGAATGTAAGTACATCTAGATGACGTGTCCCAAATAGGGTAAAATATGCGTTATGCTGGATTCCACTGCTAGTCACCATCCACCAGTGGAATTCTAACTACATACTCAGACATCGAAACATCTACACAAGAAGCCGACATGTCAACCTGAGAGTAAGCACTTCGGTCCAATCAATCGACGGGAAAATCTAAAGTTCAATCAAATACTCCTGTACTTAAGATTATCTGTCTAACCTTGGGAGATTTGAGTTGCATCGTTTTATTCGTATATATTAACACCATTCCGACTAACCATCTGTATATAAGTTTGTTTGCATACTTGTTTGGAGTCACTAAGTTTATAGAGTTGTCGTTTATTCGAAGATCCGTATATCTTTTCTGTACTTGTCTATCAGGAGTATATTTATTATACACGTTCATTGTTTTCTCCTTGTCGATTTATCAGTCAATAGACTATATTCACATATATTATATCACACTCTTTTCTAGTTTACATAATTATTGTTTGTGTCTATCCAATGTTTTCACTTGTATTTTAGTGTCTTGTGACGTAGAATAAAAAGAAATTGAACCATAATATATTGTATCATATTTTGATCAGTATATAATTACATCTAACAGCATATAACAGTCTTTATCGTCTAGTGGTCGAATCTGTCTAATGTTAATGAGCTAGGTGCATATATATAAACATGCACGGAACATAAAAATTGCCAGTTAATTTGTTTTATAATAGACTTTGTCATCAATCCTTATCATCATCTGAAAAGTTGTAGAAAGTGAGAGAACCTTGGGAAGTTTTTCTTTTGATATAGCTGTGAATTCTTTTTTGTAGTGTGTACGCCTACTACTGTCTGAAGTCTTGAACTCAAATCCCTTCATGTTATTTGATGATGTTACCCTTTAGTCAGAACCCAGTGGATTATCTTGGGTTTATTTTGGTTTACAAATATTGTCAAACGAATACTCGCATACTAATTATTATTATTGTTCCCAGTGGAACATAGGTCTTCAACTGCACGTCTCCACATGCTTCTGTCTTCTGCTGTACTTTTCACCTCCATCCATGTTAGTCCATACTGTTTCAGCTCCTCTTCACACGATCTTCTCCATGTCACCCACCCTTGGACGTCCCACTCACCGCTTCTTTTTTGGCCTGGTTCCACTCGAGCAATGGCCTGACGCGTGCGCGATGTCACCCAGCGGCCTCCTCAGCGATCGAGTGTCCAATCCATCTCCACTTTCTCCTGCATATTTGTTGGTTGGCGATTGGTTCTTGTTTTGTTTATTCCCATAGTTTCCCATAGCTGGTGATTCTTTCCGGCCCGGCCATCTGATCTTCATTCAGTACTGAGCGAAGACAGTTGTTGATGAAGGTCTGCAATAGGCTGTTGGAAATATTCTTTGTGACCCGCCCGCCCGCCCGCCAAGTTTCTGATCCGTAAAGAAGAACTGACTTGACGTTGTTTGTATTGAAAATCCGACCGAATTTTGTTGTTGATGCTGGCTGAGTGACGAAGATTTCCAGATTGGTTTCAGGTTGATGAATGTGTTTCTCGCCTTCCCGATGATTCTCGATTTGACATCCTCATCCGTTCCGACTGGCTGTAGTTGAGACAATACTCCCTAGATAAGTGACTGAAATAATTATTCTAATAATTATACATGATATTCAATGAGATCTATTTTGTCTCCGTAGTAGAAGTCCATTATGAAATAACTGTAAGCAGAGAAAAAACAAACAAACAAAGAATGAAAGAGAAAACTATTCATCATCATTGTTATTGTTATCAGGCAAATTGTTTGAGTCACTACACACTACCTAAATTTTCATTCCGTATATAATAACATGCATAAACTCTTCTCCATTATTTCTTGTTATTTTATTCATCCAATTATTTTTCTGAAACGCTACATGAACTCGCACACATATAATGTAGAGCACTTCTTAAAGTAAAATATCATAGATGACAGGATATTGCGTCAGATGGAACAACAACAACAAAGCACCCCTTGATGTACTAATATCTGATGCTATTTTACTTGTATGAAGAGCAGATATTTTTCTATTTAAATATAGTGAAAATTGTGTAGTGTTAACATATTATCTAGAATAAAGCTATTATTATTATTATTATGTATAATCAAGTAGAGAAACAGTACTATCGTTTACCATTGGTTAAAAGTATATTGATAATTTTAAACAAATTATAATAGCTGTATTACTATTATTATTATGATTATGATCAATAATATTGTTATTGAAAGCTTCTATTTCCCGATATAGATAGTTGAGAAACAAAAGACATGAGAAGGTTGAATAGACTATTATCTAGTGAATTCATACATTTATACTGTCATGTAATATTATCAATAATCTAGACTTCCACTGAATTCATTAAAAGTGACTTGAATAACTCTTGTTTCTTATCATGCATATCATTTGAAGAGGTTATCAATGGATGATTGAAAAATTTTCAAGTATTGGTTTTGTAAGGATTTAATTTGATTGGATGGAGGTTTTAATCTTGAGCTGACATCAGTTAGAGAACTGCTGGAAGTACTGGACAGCTGTCTCCTCCGTCCTAGTTTGGGACTCTTCAGTAGTATACACTCACCTTCAGAGTTCGAACCCAAGGCCTTCTGGTTAGAAGGTGAGCTCGTAGACCATTGGGGCGCGTCTTATTGGCTCAATGGTCTACGAGCTCGCCTTGTAACCAGATTGTCCTGGGTTCGAACGGTGGCGGTGGGTGCGTACTACTGAAGAGTCCCAAACTAGGACGAAACAACTGTCCAGTACTCCCAGGTTTTCCAGCAGTTCTCTAACTGATGTCAGCTCATGATGAAATCCTCCATCCGAATGAAAAATGATCAAAAACGTATACACAATATAGCCCTTTTCTAGTTATTTAAAAGTGACAGTGATCTTTTATATCATATACATATAATTATTATTCTCCTCTGTTCCTCCTAGAATAATAAACTATTAGGTCTGAGTATTGTAAATAAACTCAAAAGTATAAACTACTGTTTTAATTTAATTTTAATCATTATCTTCGTAAGTTTCATTTGATAAGTGAAAAGAGATTGCCATGAACAGTCTAAAGTGAAGCAGTTTACTAAGACTAAAGATGATAATATTAATAACAGCTTTTATTCTGGAGAAAATCTTTGCATAGTGTACAAAATTCTTGTCTTAATTTGTTGTAAAATATTTTCTCTTCATTCAGGATTTTCGGCAGCCTGTTTAAAACTTGAGCTACCAAAAACTTTAATCTCTCTAGTGCATATATTTTCTCTCGGTCTTTAATCATATTTATGCATACTATTGTGGGTAATTAAAATTTTTACAAGCTTCGGATTCTCAAGTTCCTGTTAAACTTGAGGAAAAGCCTGACTGTATGTGGAAATGTGTTCGAATGCATGAGATAACTGTTCTTCAGTTTATGTCTTTGGGTCTCAAGATGTACTTCTGAATATCTCACAAGTGGCTTTCATCTAGATCGATATCGTGGATTTCTTGAAGGAGACAAAGCAGATATATCATAATGGAATGGTTTGCACTTCAACTCAGAGGGCATTGTGTTGTCACAGGGTATACTGTAAATTAATATTTTACTTGAAGATATCGTACGAAGGGAAAATGCCATGCAATCAACTCCTCTGAAAATTCTGTACATTTAGTGAATACTGTCTGGAAAAAAGATGTTATTAGTACTATTCAAGTAAAACAGCAATTAGCAGTATATCATGTAACGTAGTGCTGTTCAATATGAAGCATAGACCAATTCCTTATGATATTTTTCCTTGATGTCTGAGAAATGCGAACCGATATTTCGAAAGCCAGTTAAATATGTTCATGACTACATTTTGCGACTCAAGGACATACATATTCGGATTTATGAAAATATATACTGGTAACTGGATGTCTTTATTCCCTCTTTCATCTGATTGCGTAATCTTTGACTCTGACCTTACCCCCTCTTTATATAATGTAATTTTGCTTGTCTATGATTTGAGTCGAACTCCGTACATTGTTACCTAATTTATTAGTTACTCGTCACCGTACTCACCTCTCGTCTTTATTGCGTAACTCCTTTACCATTGTATGCATGGATTTACTTTGTTTAAACTTGAACTCCCTCTCTGTGTGCAAACTATATAAGCATAATTTTCTGAGCACTGTTCACTAATTCCGGAACCTCCTGTCAACTGACATTATGTAGAATTTGCGAGTATGTTAAAACTTTTCTGAACATGAACTTATTAATAACTTATTTAGACTGTAAGCAACTGATGAGAAGCCAAGGAAATAAATAATGGTACCATATTATTCTGCACAAACCACCGCTGTTGTTCTTGCCTTATTCAAAGATATGATGCATTGTGTTGGATGGGAGGAATTCAGATAGCCGAATACGATGATTCCAACAGGCAGTTAAAATTCATTGTTGAACTATTTAATGTATTCCCCCTTAACTAGGTATTATTCTAGGCATCTATGAAATATTTTTTTTTTCGGACATTAAATGTTATTTAAGATTATACATTAACTAGTGCGTGATAACCACTGCCTAAGTGCTAAATTTGGTTTTTAAGGAAGAAATCAATGTTCAATTTTATAAACTCTAACAGGAAATAAGTTTTGTTGGTTGATTTTATTTACTTCATGATGAAATTATTTAAAAAAAAATTTATTTCTGTTTAAATTTGTTATTTTGCTTTCTTTTTCCTTCTTTGATTAGGTTTTTAAAAGACTCAGGATTAACTCAAATGCCTTTGTCAAATAGCATTTCTGATTCAGAGAGTCAGTTTAATGGTACATCTAACAACGAAGAGATTAGTGTAGGAGAGAAACATGATAATGATACTACAACTACTACAACTAATACTACTACTACTGCTACTACTACTAATGATGATGATGATGATGATGATAGTAATAGTACTGTCTGTACACCTGAAGATCTTTCAAATTGTAGTAAGGCATCAGTTGTTGCGTCGACATCACCATCGATGTCGTTATCATGTAAAACCAGAAATTCGAAAGGAGCAGTTAACAACTGTTCCATTCCGATGAATAACAAAAGAAACCAAGACAACTCTTCAACATATAATGATATCCATGCGGCGATTTCTAAATCATCATCATCAACTGCACCACCATCCCCAGTATCTTCGTCGTCGAATTTATGCTTAAAATCTTCAGTTTTACAATTCAATACATGTTCACATGTATCAGATTCATCTAATCGTATTCCAGCTCCAAATGTTAATGCTGTTAATTTATCACAGGTAATCTTGGCTTTCTTTGCATTGGTTATTGGAAGACGCGTAGACTTGTAATACATGAGAGTTGAGTATCTATTCAAAACTCTGTATATCAGCAGTAATTAGTAAGCTTCGGCTAGTGGCACATCCCAAGCTGCTCAACCGATAGCTGCTACCTTAACATGGTGGTCGGACTTGCATACCACAATGACCCCTAACAAGCTACACTGGCCGAAACTGATATTCCTGCGAGTACTACCATGTTAGACTTATAGACACTTATCATCATAGTGTAAGTCGTTTACATTAACTTGGGGGGGGGGTCTGTGAGAGCAATAAGATGTTCCCTTCAGATGACTAGCTAGTCAGCTATGCTGCCTCTCAGCTCTGAAAAGAGGCGATTTCATATTTCGTGAGGTTTAGTTGAGTTGGTAGAGACATCCTAATTAGCAACAGACACATTGATTACGAGTGTGTTACTTGTCAGCCACCAACTCTATACATCGGTTACTTGATTTCCCAGCCCATTAGTTGATCGACAACACACAATGAGGTAAGTCGAAAAAGTATGTTTATACAATGAATCAATTATTTATATATATTCAAAACAAAGAATACTACATGGGCCAGTGACGTCGGCAGTATAACGGATAAATCGATTAACTGTCTCTGGCTATCCATAGGACAACTCTGATTGATCCAGTTTCCAGATAGGATATCCGCCCACATATCAGGGGGTTAGAAAAAGGTCAACCTCGAAAACTGTTCATCCCAACTTACCTTGGGGCGGTCCATTGCTGGTGGTGAGTTCATAATACCGAGGTAACTCTAAAACCCACTTCAAGTAGGCCGTGTATGAGCCACCTAAAGTAGTCGTTCATTGGACTCTGCTGTCACGCAACATTAATGCTGCTTCAAGAAGAAATCAACTTTCATAGTGTGAGAAGCCGGGAAGTAATAACCGCTCACACACTCCTATAAGCACACAAAGGTTTTCGGACACTAGAGGCAGTAATAAATTCATATGTGACTATGTTAAATGGTCACTTTAATTTTGCACGGTGTACTATCGATTCCAAGGTACGAATCATTATTCTTAGTTATATCAAACCATATGGAATTTTGGTGTTTGTTATGTAAACCAAATGAAATTTTATTTGTTGAAATGAATGTCAGTGACTGCTTTTTGTTTGTTTTTCCAAAAGCATTTATCTGATATGAGTATTTGTTTCGTTTTATCGATCGTTCGATATAAACCGACTTAAGGATTGTTTATATAAAAAGATGTTTTTGGATTGTTAATAAGTTGAAATTCACAAACTCACTGAAAATAATTTATTTACAAAAATTTTGAGTGAAATAAGAGTAAACATTGAGGTTAGTATACAGTGAACCTATTGTTACTTCATCGATTCTCATTGGCTGTGTTCAGCATATACCTCCTAACATTTTAAATAAGATTATTTCTTTGTAACATTTGAGAATTAACTCATTCATCTTTACTATATTTGAATGAAATTATTTTCCCCTTGGCTATGATGCCATTATTTGGTTATTCTTTACAAACTTGTTCACATTTATTTCTATCGTGCGAATTGGAGTATGTTAGAACTTTATGCCTATTTTGCTGTTAGAAATACTCTATGGGTCGCATATAGAGTAGTATGGAGAATCCCACGAAGTCAAATGTATAGACATATAGACTTTGCAGTCAAGAGTACATCTTCCGAGATCATTAGGGATGGCTTTCTCACTGCGTCAGTGGCACAGTGGTTAGGACCCTCACCCACCCACCATGCACATGGTCCGAGGTTTGACCCCTGCTGACGCACACCTGACATCAATGGTTGGCCTGCAAAATTTGGGCTACCGATATCGCATGCTGGAAATTCCATACTTGTACCAAAAATACAGTGTGAAATCAAGCTGTAATCAAAAATATAAAAATAAAGTTCTGCTCCTTTTAACTCTATAAAGACGACCAACATGTGTATGAATTTCACCTTTTAAAGATCTCATCAAAATCAATCTTTCTGATTATGTAGTGTTATCGATATGTGTTGAGAGGTTCGTCAACATTTTTAAAAATAAACTTCATTACTGGGTACTTAATTCCTTAATTTGATCCTTTTTTCTTTAATTGAAAAAAGGATTTACCAATGAATTTAAGTGCTAAACCTCAAGAACCGATTGCTTTAATAAGATATGTTGTTGATCCATCAACTTATGCTAAAATGAATGGTATTCAACCAGCGAGTTATCTTAATCATCATCAACATCATCATCATCATACAGACAATTTTTATGATAAACAAATTCCAAGTAATTGTCTTCCATCAGCAGAAGTGATTGTTCAAACAGCTGTTGAAGCTGCTCGTAGTTTAGCATCGGATAAGCCGAATTTAAGGCAACAAACAAATAAATCGAATCAGTCTACTCCAGATTCAAGTGAGTGTACACCTTTTTCTTTTTACTTCAGGTTCTTTTTGTTGTTGGTGTTGAATATTACTAGATACTGAATTCTAGATTTTCCCGTCGATTGATTGGACTGAAGTGCTTGGTTTCAGGTTGACATGTCGGCTTCTTGTGTAGATGCTTCGACGATGATGTCTGGGGAATGCAGGCGCATCCAGATGACGAGTCCCAAATAGGACGAAATGCGCGTTATCCTGGATTCCACTGCTAGTCACCATCCACCAATTAAATTACTAGATACAGTGTTTGTAACTAAAAGTTTTCTTTCATCGACTGATTAGTAATCATTTCAAATCAGAGAGTAGATAGGTAGAAATCAACATTTTAGCCACTTTGTACAAACATGTATTGATGTAAATTGTTACATTTCTCAATTGCACAAGATCAACAGAAATAGAAAAAGATGCCAAAAATGAAATATGATATAGCTGAGGCAATAAAATGGTGTTGTATTTTCAGTTTGTTTGAGTGGTTATGTTGATCGTATTAAACTGCTATGTATACTATAAATAGTGATAATAATAACACTGAATACTACTATTATTATTCTCTCGGGTTCCTAGTGGAACACAGGACTTCAGAAGCACATCTCCATTTCACCCTTTCCCTGCAGTCATTTTTAGCTGGTTACACTGTAACAACAGAAGACAAGGGCCAGGAAACAGATCCTTTATTATAGAAATCAACACATATTTATAGATTTTCATGTACATTATTATAGATTATTGTTAGCAGAAAAACACAGTCCTCTGATTGGTTGTTTCTCACTGAAAGTTAACCTTGCATCTCTTTGTGGCTGTTTCAGATCATCTATATGTTAACTGTATCCGTCTACGCAAAGCATTTGTTCTCAGTTTTCTCACGACCAATATTTGGGACATAAATATTGATGTAAATTACTGTCCACCAATTTTGACTAACAGCCAACCACCACGACTCCTCATAAGCTTTGTTCTCCTCCTGCTCCTCACACGATTTCCTCCTTGGCACTTTCGAACCCATGCCCAATTCATCTCTTCTCATTCTAGTCCTACTCAAGCGATAGCCTTACTGGTGTGTGATATCCTCTCATTGTGTGTCCAACTATGTCCGTTTCCTTCAGCACAATTGTCGATCGATAGGTTCTTGGTTGACTGCTAGAGTTGTTTGTTGCTAATACTTTCTAGCCGGTCATCTGATCTTCAGTATGGAGTCAACAAAGGCAGCTGTTGGTGAAAGTCTTCAGGTGCCTGTTGGAAATGCTTTTCGTGACGCACCAAGTCTCTGAACCATAAATGTCTCTGTCAAATAAGTCGGTCGAAATGAGGAAAACAGAAGCATATCGTTTTAGGTTGGATTAGGTTCAATCTCTCGCTCGGTCTATGAACTCCTAAGTAGTCCAGAACTCAGGCGAGATAACTGTCCTGTACTCATTGGTTCTAAATAATTCTTCAGTTGATATCAATTCTTAACGAAGTGTACATTTAAATTAATTACACTCTCACAAGCAGGAAATCTGAATAGTATCAATTGCTATATGACGACTGATTTCAGACTTTTGAAATCCAATAATTCATTTGATTAGTCCATAATTTGTTATTAGTATTACAAAGAGTAATTACATAACTCACTTATCCAGTAGATTTCTTCATGTATTAAACTATGGATGATATTGATTGCATGGATGATTTCATCATGAGCTGACATTAGTTAGAGAGCCACTGGAAAACCTGAGAGTACTGGACAGATGTTTCCTCCGTCCTAGTTTGGGACTCTTCAACAATACGCACCCACCGGGGTTCGAACCCAGGACCTTCTAGTTACAAGGCGAGCTCGGGTCCCAGTGGCTCAATGATATTGTATATGAGAAGGAATTATAGTAACATCTGGTTAGGACTATCGCCGACCAGGCATATGGTCCGAGGTTCGATCCCCTGCCGACGAACACCTGATATCTATGGTCGGCCTGCAAAATTTGGGCTACCGATATCGCATGCTGAAAATCTCATACTTGTACCAAAAATACAGTGTGGAATCAAGCTGTAGTCAAAAATTAAATTAAATTAATTAATTAAAATAGATGAAGAGAGAGAGAGATAGAGAGGTCTCAACTGAGATTCCGTGAAGTAAGAATCGGATTTTGACTTCAATCAATCCAACTAGTTCTGTGCGTACAACATGAACTAGGCTATGAGGAATCTAAATTATTTGTAGGTTAAAATTATAGTTTAAATTTTTCTTCCCTATGTTCTCTTTCTTTTGGACAAATAACTAAGAAGTCTATATTTATACCTGTATACATACATCAGTTCTAAAGAGAGAGGAGTGCGAATCTTAGATTCCCTACTGCTAGCTACTAGTAATCAAATGATTAAATAGTATTCATAACTTTACTCTGACTTAATGTTAGCTTAAGAATGAGTTAAGTTGCAGCTAGTTAGGATTATGAATCATAATTTATTATCACACAAATGATTGATTTTGTTCTCTCGTACTACTATTACTATTTTTATTTGTAATTGTTATTATTCATTTTTATTGTTATTAGAATACTTTGAGAAGACATCTAGTCCAGGAAGCAAGATAAATTGTAATATTAACAACGATTCTGAAGAACAACACTTCCCCAAAGCCTTACGTACTTCTACACCCAATCATCATGAAAATAAACAGAATGATAAATCGTTCCTACTTCCACGTCCTGCTAGTAATGGCAGTAGTTGTGGTAGTGGCGTCATTTGTACAGAAGATTCTTCACCGAATAAATTAAATAAGGATACGAAACAGAATAAACTGGAGACAACACCTGTTACACCAACTACTGTTTCAAATAAAACTGAATCACCTTCACGACAAAATCATGGAGTTAAATCTCACAATTGTCTAAAAGATCCTCGACCATACAAATGTAACACATGTAATGTTGGCTTTCGTGTTACCGGACATTTATATAAACATTATCGATCTAAATCACATATGTCAAATATTCTACAAATGGCTCAATTATCAAGCAGTACAATTGAACGTGTTCTCCAATGTCATATGGGTAATTCTCAACTTATTAATCCAGATACTGGTGAATTGATTATGACAACACTGGAGAAATTAATTCCAACTTGTGAAATTCCTACAACAGTGCCAATTAATACAGTAACAAATGGGCATAACTGAAATATATATATTGCTATTTGTGATGAAAAACCAACAATCTTTCTTTTTTGTACATATGATTGAAGTTTTTAAAATAAACAACCGATACCTATTTTTTGCCCCCAGCCTCTACTGTTTTATTAAAATGACTAACTGACTGACTGGTTTAAACATAGAACTTTGCACCGATGTGCAGCAATTTTCGTCGCCACACTTCACTTAGCACACAAAGCCAGAGAAGAAGAAGAAGAAAGTAAAAAGAAATGCAAAATAGAGACAGTAAACAGAGATATCAGGCAAAAAAGAGTAGTAATATCGAAGAACAATAAAGTTTTATTGGGTATTATAAGTCACAAGAAGTGGATTCATCTACGCCAGCCATTGAAAACGAGGATTTTGAGCTATATCATCAATTGTCACCAGCCTTCATTGGCTTTTACTATCCCGAGAAACCCAACCACTCAGTCAGGTAGACTACACCTTCCTACGTGGCTGACTGACTTAAACTAACTGTTGTAGATTTCGTTGACTGATGAAGCCATGTTGGTTTTGGTTTGACCACCACCAGATAACTCTTTGCCAACCTGATCTATCCTATGTGAGCTAACATTTCCAAATGGTCTAGAAAGGCGATAGATGGCTAGGCATACACGCGTAATACATTTCCCAACCATCTCAATCGATGTAACTTCACAGCCTCGTCAATTGATTTCTCCTCCTTACCTAGCTCTAGACTGACTCCTAACCTCAATATTACTCACCCTATTATTCCACTTCACACAAGAAATAGAACGCAGGCACCTATGGTCAAAGACAGCCAGCCAAGCTTATCATGTCTTACACTTCCAGTGGCCAGGTCTCATAGCCATAAAGGGGGACGGGGTGGACTTTTGAGTAGTACACGTGCCCTTTGGTCGATAACCAGCCGGTTATCACGTTTACGCCAGAGATGGTGTAAACTGGCATATACGAAACGAGCCTTCTGTATCCGTGCAGAGATTTCGTCCGTGATCCCTCCGCTAGCACTGACTGATGCAACTACCCAAATAAGTGAAGTGGCCAAGGTGCTCTACCACTTCACTCCCTGTTTCTAAGCTAGGGTCAATGTAGTCCAGTCCTGTAGCATCATCTTACATTTGGTGAGAGCGAATCTCATGTCAAACATTCGCAGATTGCAACTCAAAGTGTTCAGAAAACACTGCATTTTGTCAGCGTCTTCACCTAGGATAAAGGACTATATCATCTGCATATTCTAAGTCAACGAGATTATTCCCCGGTAACAAGTCAATCTCTGAGTCTCTGAAGTCAGTTAGGGCTAAGTCCATTAGTACATCTGTGATGAAATTGAATAGGAATGGGGATAATGGGCATCCCTGACGGACACCACTGGTTATCACCACTTCAGATAACAACTCGCCGTAAGGTCTTACCTGGATGGCTGCATGAGTTCGAGTAGAGTGACTTGATCAGTGCAATGTATTTTCTCGGCATTCCCTTCACAGCCAAACATTGCCATAGTGCCTCCCGGTTGAAGGAATTGAAAGCCGCTTTCATGTCAAGAAATATGACGATTGTTGGACGCCGGTAAGAATGCCTATGTTCCAGAATGTGTCGAAGGGTGAAGATATGACCGATACACCCCCTTCCAGGTCTAAAGCCTGCTTGGTTTTCTCGTGTTTGTTCCTCTCGAGCACCACTTAGTCTACGCATGATTATTGAGCCTAGGACTTTAGATAGCATATTAGTCTCCATCATCCTTAGACACCTCTGGAGTCACTCCCTCAGGTCCTGCTGCTTTGCCTCGTTCCAGCCATAGTAACCTCAGTTAGGGACACAGAACCTGTGTCTATATCCCATTCAGGGAGGTGTTGGATGTTCGGCAGGTTAAGCGTCGCTGCTCCCCATAGTGCTCTTTCCAACGTTCCAGTCGGGGATTGTTTCACTTATCATTTGGCGTTTACCACCTATTTCTCTGATAAGTCTAAATAGTTGTCTGGTGTTACCAGTCGCCGATGCCTTTTCCATCTTTTTCTCTTTCGTCGCCCACCACTGTTCACGGTCGTTACGAAGGCCTCCTGTTAGTTTGCGTTTCAGTAGCTTTCGCCCCTCATCATAATCGGAGCTCGCCGGAATAAGTCTTCTTGCGTCAATCAGTTCGGAAGTGGTGGTAGGAATCCAATGGCTCTTACTAACTTTAGGTTTCAGGTCATTAACAACTTTTGCAACATACAGCTGTCTGCTGTGCCAGGCTACCTCAGGATGAGTCCTGGTTTCGGCCTCAGACACTCGTTTCGCTATTTCTTCCTTAAATAGGGACTCAGAGTCTCGATCTAGTTGGGGACGCAGCTGCTTTGCTGCCGACAATTTTTATGTCTTTTTAATCGTAAGCATAAAAGTGCGCAAACCAGGGCGTGATCAGAGTCTAGGCAAGTACTCCAGAAGGAGTGGCAGTCTTTTACTGACCCTCGCCAACGACACCCTGTCGCCGTGTGGTCTATATGAGTTCAATGTTGGTTTGGTGATGGAGGTTGCCAGGTTACGCGATGTCTCTCTTTGTGCCTAAAGTTAGTGCTGACTAGGAACAGACGATCACTACTGCTGGTTCGTCAGCAGGGAACTCCGTACATACCACCTACGTACTTCTCAGTCTGGCAAAACTTCCCTACTTGGGCATCGAATTCGCCTGCTACAACAACTATATCTGAACGTTTTGCTTTTTGCAGCAAATTAGACAGTTTCAGGTAGAAGTCATCCTTTAGTTCATTCGAATTGTAATCTGTTGGGGTGTAAGCGGCGGAGACTACGAAAAAACAACTACGGGTAACACTGTCCTTCCTTCTTCTAACGGACCCTTTTAGACGGACTGCACACATACGACTATCTACTGGGATCCAGTCAAGAAAAGATTTTTCCGCCCAAACACTCAATGCTATCCCTACACCTGCAAGTCCTCGCGAGCTAGCCGAGGGGTCTCCTGACACTTTTAAAGTGAATTTTACAGATTCACCTTGTTGACCGGGTGAGGTTAAGTGAATGATCACACTCAGGTCTTGTATGCATGTCTCCGAAACACAACATACATCCATAGCTCGAAATGCTAGAGCTCTTGCTAGCGATTAGGCAGAGGGTCCTGACGTTGAATGCTCCCAATTGAAGTGGGCGATGTGGTTTTAAGATGCTGTCGGGGTGTTTCTATGGCTGTCATCGTTGTTTGTGGTCACAGAGTGAAGATGACTCACTAGCCTGTAGAATAGTACTGTAGTAGGGGAAAAGATGATGAAGGTGATGTGGGTAGAGGAGAATGATACTCAGGTAGGCTTCGTGTGCTTTTGGAAGTGTGTGGGCGGTTGTTACTCCCCGGCCGCCCCCACCGTAGGATTTGATCGGTTCTTCGGGTACCTGAAAAAAATTGTTACACTATGCCGGTAACTGCTTTTAGTCTAATCGCATGGCATGGTAGGACCTGCAGGAACAATAGTTCCAGCCAATGTGGCTTGTTGGGTCATCGCGATGTACAAGCCCGACCACTACGTCAAGGTAGCAGCTATGAATCGGGGTCTTATTAAAATATCTAAGTGAATTAAATAAACTGTTATATTTTGTGTCATCTGAAGTAAATAAAATTAAGTACTACAAGGAGTGAGACTGACGGAATTAAAATTTACCCTAAAAAGAAACGAATAAGTCGGTAGTAGCACTATTCCATAAATATTTAGGCATGTTATCTAAAGCTTCCAACTAGCGATCTCTAGCTCTTTTGTTTTCAGAATCCAACAAAAAATGACTTTTGTTTGCCTATTCTAACTTATTATTTGCTCAACTCCTTAACCATCCAATTACTGATCTATTCGTTGTAAAATCGATCCTCTATGAATGTGTTATAATTGGTGGTGGTCACGTTATTTGAAATAATAATATTAATGATCAGCACGTATATATATATATACATGACCTTGACCTCTACAGCCTTTTATAGAGTGACATTACTCATTGTTCTTATCATATTAGTCAGTCTGTAATTTACTCATGAAATAATGTATAGCGCATAGTATCTTCGATGTGTATTGATTGGTTCTTAATTAATATAAGTAGAAATTTATAGTTTCGTTAAGTATTTTGGCACGGAATATGTCATATTATAACAAGTTCAAAGGATTAACTGTAAACTATCAGACCATATTTAATGTCTGTAAGAAGTTTGTTTGTACACTGTAGAATTAAGAAACTTCCAGCTGTTGGTGTGATCACGAAATTTTGATCAAAATATTACCAAAATAAGAAAAACTTATCATTGTGAGTGGACATTTATTGTTATATAATTATAATTAATTATCAGGCGATTTCTTCGAATCAGTTTATATTAGATAAATTACAATTATGGCTGATATGCAGATCCTTTGAACAAAATGTCTAGGTTTTGAAATAATCAAATTCTGTACCTTATTAGGAGCACCGTGATTTATTAGGATACAAATACAGCCAGTTGATAAGTCTCAAAGAGGATTAAGTGTGTGATGAGAGCTGGCTGTTAGCCAAATTGGTAGACAGTAATTTACATCAGTCTTTATGTCCCAAATATTGGTCGTGAGAAAAATAAGAACAAAGACTTTGCGCAGGCGGATACAGTTAGCATATAGATGATCTGACATTCAAGAAACAGTCACAAAGAGATGAAAGATTAACTTTTAGTGAGAAACAAGCAATCAGAGGACTGTGTTTGTTTGCTTACAATAATCTATAATAATGTACATGAAAATCTATAAATATGTGTTGATTTCTATAATAAAGGATCTGTTTCCTGGCCCTTGTCTTCTGTTGTTGCAAGTGTGCCTCATAGATCTCAGTGCTTACTAATACTAGAAAAGGTCTTAATGGTCTACCAGTTGGCCTTGAAACCCGGAAGGTCCTGGGTTCGAACCCTGGTAGGTTTGTACTGATGAAGAGTCCCAAGTTATAGTGAAACAACTGTTCAGTACTCCAAGGTTTTCAAATGGTTCTCTAACTGATGTCAACTCATGATCAAACCTGTAGCCAATCAGATCCATTTAAATCAACACTTGAATATTAATCTGTTGCTCACTAGCGACTGGACCTATTCAGGCAGGTAGTTACCTGGGGTTCTAG